ATATATATATATATACATATTTTTTTAAATTTGTTTACCTTATGGTTTAGACGTCGCGAAGCAACCTCTCAAAAATAATTTTTCATTTTCAAAGAATATCTTATACCTATCATTTCTTATATCTATCAGGTATAAGAAAAAATATTTTATATAAAAGTTTTTTTATTCAAAAGTTCTGGTCTTTTATATTTCTTTATATTATTAAAATGGTGTATTCTCCTCCTTCTCAGTCCTATTGAACGTGGTGACTTCTCTCATATGCCCGTGATGCGCACATTGGTTGTACACAGTCATATGGGATCTACAGTTTAATGTCAATTCCGAACAATGATTTATTAGAGAAGTGCTCTTGGCAAGAATACTCTCGGCGATTTGCTTTCGAAAGAAGCTACGAGCATTCGAAAACATTTTTTGGTTCTGTCTGGGATTGAACCCGGGATCTCTGGCATAGATAGCAGTCTCATGCGCTGCCTGCTACGCCAAGCTCGCACTCCAAAACGATATATATTCACTTTTTTCAAAAATATCAAATTTTTTAATTTACTACTCATTCTCCAGGGTTGTTTCAACCTCTAAACTTTTAGATAAGCAGATAAAAAAATATGGATTTGTTTTTTTGATGTTCTACAATATATTCAAAGTTCGTAAAAATCGGCGAGGGGTAGTTCCAAGGATTCTCCTGTAAGTCGCTAAGAAGTCATACCAAATGGTGGAAATGTTACAATGATATGAAATATGTCATACGTTTTTACTCAATTATAACTTATGTAAGAATTATTACATATATAATATAAATATAATATACAGGAAAATGAGTTTGAGGATGATGAAGATGACGAGGAAACGATTGCAACTTTTGTCACTGCGGCGGGACAACAGTTGGCTCTCTATGCCGTGGAAGATTCGGACGAGATATTTGCTGTCGCCGTTTACGATGAGTCCGACGAACCTCCGACTAACTTCCAGTTTCTTATGAAGTAAGTCAATGAGAAAAATAAATTCATCCAGTTTTAGTTAAAAACTTTGATATTTAAAATCTATAGACGAGCAGTTTACCCCCATTTTCAGTTTATTAACCGATCAATCAACGTTTTCTAGTGACTGAAAATGATTTAATTCGATTTCTCATATTATTCTATAGAAAAACATCTATATACACTTTATTTTTTATGTGGTCGTTGAATAGTTATAAATAATTTCTTGTTTAAAAAATCTAAACTTCGAATAAAACTTCCGAAAAAAATTCTGTAAGATTAATTGGATCAAAATTTTTTGTCTGAAATTTTTTTGTTTAAATCAATAGTTTTTAAAATAAAAAATGTCTAAATTTGAAAAATGATTACTTTTATGATTTTTTTTTTCTTAGAAATTAGTCATCCAATATGAACAAAGGCGCATCTACGGCCTTATATAATAAAATTTTCACTAACAGTAACAGTATAGATCAAAATAAAATTCTTGTTTTAGTTTAAGATTGGCCGAATATTTCCATTTTTTATTCATAATTACTAATTGAGGAATCGAATTAAATTATTTTCAGCCAATAGAACATTAATTGGTTGGTTAGTGCACTTATTAAGCGATTTTTTGATAACCCGCTCAACTACTAATCTTCAAAATTTTTTCAGCATAGAAAAAAATAATTTCAATTAGATGATGATTAAATTGTAATCTCCCTGTCTTTTTATTTGGTTTTATATGTAGATTAGCAGAATTACAACTATGGCTATAATTACAGATCAGACGTGGAACGTTTAATAGGCGAAGGTGCCGTTCGAACGGTGAAAAAACCGTCGCAGATGAAAAAACGAGTATTTACTGCCAAACCACCAATGTTTTGTCATAAGGAAGAAGCGAACGACAAGACTTCTATCTGCGACGCATCAGTCAACAATGAGAAGAATATTGCGCAAGAGGACGGTAGCAGAATAGTACATAATTATGAAACTTACCAAAACTGTAGCGACAAGATTAATTTAGAATCTAGTGATAGTGTTCACACAGCTGTCGATGAACAATCGGATATTACGTATCTCATGATGAACGACAGTTTTGTCAATATCGGTATGTATATAAATGTGAATGTAAAATGATAGTAGTTTTCTTTAATAAAACGAAATGTTTGTGGTGATGGTCGCAATTAGGTGTCACCAATGTAAAAGTAATAAAAGTAATTGAATTTTTTATACATAATTTATTCTGTAGAATTTCAATTTGCTCGAAGAAAGTATTGTTCATGTACAATATAATGAAGCTATCGGTAATTTGAAGTGACAATTCTAATTATATCTAATAAATATCATTTGAATAAATACAAATGTAAGCAATTAATGCACATGATAACTTACGGAGATAATATTTGTTTTTTTTTACATAATATATAAGAAATTTATTTTTATTTTAAGATATAAAGTAACATTTTTTTATAAAAATTATTTTATGCTATACAATTAAATTTAATACAAGACTTTTACTATGATACTATTGATACTTATAATAAGTTAGTATTTAATAGGTATTTATAAAATAATATATAAGCTTGGAGGAATACATCTTTTTAGTCGAACAACAAGATGGATGTGAAGATAACGTTGAATTCGAGGACGAATTGATCGAGCATTCAACAGTACAATACATCCTTTTAGAAGCTGATTATGAATCGGAATCGGAGTTAACGTTTGATGACATTCAAGCGACATTACAGAATATGAAGATTTCTCGCGAGAAATCATTGGAAATAAACGATAAAAAATCGGACAAATTGCAAGATGATCATTCAAGTATCCAGCAAGACTCGCGTGAGTCTTCGATAAAGGAAGAATCATCGTTTAGTGAAGACGCAGACGCATTTGAGTTGTATATGTCGCCGCAGTCAACGATTGACCGAACATGCGTTTCCGTCTCGGAGGACGATCGACAGCGATTGATTGACACGTTGACCGATTCGCCACCATCAACAATGAAGATTATTTCGCAGACGCCACTGAAAGTTAAACGCTCACGTAAGCAGCAATTGATTTCAGTGGACCGTGATGACGGAGAAATCATTATTCAGCCAGCATCGATGGTGAATGATGAATCGATCGGTAAGAAGCGCACAACTCGACGACGTCGATTGCCAATACGTGTTGCCATGGCTAATCGAAAGGGGATTAAGGGGGCGAGGCGAATTAAGCGGCCCAAGCGGCGGAAGGTGAATGCTCATAGAAGCGTAAATTACAAAACGATAACGGTGCATTAATTAGTATGCAAAGATTTTCTTTGAAAAAATATATTTACTCGATATAAAGAATTATACGTTTCGCGGGTTTTCTCCATAATACTCCATAATATTATATTCATTAAAGATTCGATTTTTTGAGGAATATAATTATGGAATAAATAAATATAGTTTTCAAAGGAAATCTTTGCGTACTATTTATTTGCGCTGTTACACCTTCATTTAATTTTCTTCAATATTGAGGGTCTTTTTACAAATTTATTTTTTATTAAATTAAGATTCTTCTTGGAAATTTCAATATTCCTATTTACAAATTTAAATTTTTCAAGTTTTAGTATCATTAACTCTTTAATACTTATGAATTGTTTTCATTCAGCTATTCTATCATGATCAATCAGAAGTTATAAAATTAAAGTTATTAAAGCTTTTCAGAGAGTAAGAGTTGACAAAAAATAGTCTAAATTAATGAAACATTAACATTTTTAAGCATCAATAAGTCTTTATAACGACAAATTTTCTAATGTGTCGAAAATTATAGGTCGTAGAAATAATCGATCTGGACGTCGACGAAGAAGAGCAGCAGACGACACGCAACGTAGTGGAAATCACTTTAGATGACAACAAAGACAAATGTTCTAGTGACAAAGAGAACGAAATTATCATGGTGAGGGATTCGGATTCCAGTAGCAGTGATCACGAAGAAAACGAGAAGACTGAATGGGCCAGTGGCCGTTTGAAGCTCAATGGCGAAACACGTTGCGAATATTGTTCCAGAAACTTTCGGTACCGACGTACTCTCAATATGCATCTTTTGGTTTGCCAGAAAGCGCCAACGAATGCCCTCAATCTCGATAAAGGAAAACCGAAAAGCAAAATAAATAAGAAAATTAACAAGCAATTTACTTGTAAGATCTGCCAGGAGAAGTTTGACGCAGTCGTTGTCTTGGCGCGTCATGTTCGCTTAATACATGTGCCGAGAAAAAAGAACGAGTTGAGCCTGTCCTCAGAAAAGTATGCAAATCCATATTTTTTTCTGATACATAGAATCACTTGTTATATATCATTTTATGCAAATTCAATATTCAGTTTTTTTTTTTAATTTCTTGTTCTTTATTCGACAGATCTTCGAGTAAATCTTTGAGATCGATTCGAGAGAAAGAATTAAATTCAACGGAAGAAGAAGAATCGGATGACGAAAACAACACGACAGAGAAAGAACTCAGTATGCTTGCCAGGGTGAAGAGAAAACGAAAACAAAGAAATAACTACTCGGAGTCGAAAAAGCTCGATTGTGCAGAATGTGGCCGATGGTTTCCAAGTACTACTCTATTAAATGCGCATAGCTTGCAGCATGGCATTAAGAGATCAGGTATATCAAAAATAAGTGTTAAGATCAAAATTAAAAAAACGTAATTATTAGACGTAATTTGTCGAAGCTCAATATAAGACTGAATGAGAAATATTCTTTAACTATTATTATAATTGAAGCTTTTTATTTTCTTAAAGTTGTATGTGCATGTATATATTTGCAATGTGCATGATTTAATATTTTTCTGTATGTATAAATTTATTTAATAATTTACTTAATAAATTCAAAATTTATATAATACTACATTAATATATATAAATTTTAATACATAAAAATTAATATACATTTAATATAATAATATACAATTTAATTTAATAATATACAATTAATATACATAAATTGGCTAGTTTCTTAATAAAATTAGATATTGAATTAAAATATTGTTGTCTGTACGTGATAAGCAACGAGATAAGAGTGATAGTAGATTTGGAATCAGTAATTCGATTCTGTAACTTGTTAACGATAGTGTTGTTATTTTATTATTATTGCGCAAATATTATGCATGGAAAAAAACTTGCGCAACGACGATATAATGAAAAAAACGATACCGAACTGAGTTACAGATTCGGAGCACTGACTTACCTATGTTGTTTTGCTTATAGAACAACTACGCAAGTGTCACATCTGCAAGAAGTACATAAAATCCAGGTTACTATTTTTACGACATTTGAGAATGCACAACGATACACAACGCACTTCTGGTAGCTCATCCAAGATGGTGCGGCGGAAGCTACGCGGTCGGCCAAGCACGCGTAAAATCGCATCTCCCCGAAAACGGGGTCGGCCGAGGAAGTTCTGATCTTTTTCGCTCGTTCGTAACATGTATAATATTATGTTAATACCGCCGTCATCGGTTGGAGTTCGTTAATGTATTTTATTTTTTTCTTTTCCGAAATGACAATTGATAACATCTCTTTTATTATTAAGACATTACCTTGAATGTAAATAGCGAGTAATGTCATGTTATGTATCATTTATATATCTCTTTCATCGATTTATGTTTGAAAATTATCAAGAAATCGAGAGACTCGACAAATATATAAATTTTTATTTTTTTTATTTTTAATAAATGATTTCATGAAGTTAGGAATGTCTTGCGATTGTCATTTATGATGAGTAACATTTTCAAAAAACTCTTAAATCTTAAAAACTTCAAAATTTCCAAGTCATTTATTGAAACAGGAAAAAATTTCAATTTCAATATTGCTTTTGGAAGAATTAAAAATTTTATTACTGATGAGATGTAAATCAAAAGGAAGATTTCTTTTTGATAATATTCTCATAAAAAAATGATTTCTATTTTCTATATAAAGTTTCTAGCTACAATCTGTTACTCCGAGAGACTTATAGACACTCCAGGATCTCATTGATCTCTTGTTGA